CATACAATCCGGAATACATCTTAGCACTGCTAATTCTCTTCCCCGAGTTCAAATCCTGAAATACACAAAGATTTGAGAAAAATTTTGTCACACAATGATGTTCACCAGTAAATTTACTGATTGAAACTAAATTACAGTCTAATTTAGGCACATAAAGCATAGATTTGAGAGTTAGGTCCTTTGTTATTCTGACTGAACCTGAACCCTCAACTTGAGAAAGTGTGCATTCTGCAATTTTGACTGTATGAATTCCTTTGTTCGGATGAAACTCAGAAAAAATAGATGCATCTCCGGTCATGTGATCTGAAGCTCTGAAGTCTAGAATCCAGGATTTGTTAGTGCATCTATTGACAAAACGAGCAACTGAATTATTACCTCCCATAGCCAACATTCCAGTATCCTGCGTAGATGCTGGTTGAGTGGAGTATTGATTCAGAAGTTCCTTAAGAACCTCCAGTTGAGCTTTAGTAAATGGAGCTGATTCAGGCACATCATTTAACTCTCTGACAGCTGAATTTATTTGAGGAGATGCAGAAAGAATTGATGAGGGTGTTTTAGAGGTTGCCGCTGAGAAGGAGCTGTTGTTTTCGTGAGCCATGATAGACAAGAGATGGGCACAATCAGAAGAGAAGTACAGAAACCCTAGGAAAACTAGAGCTCTGATACCATGTGAAATTCTGAATATTTGTGATGATTTATTATCTCAGAATCGCAAGATATTTATACAACCTATTGGGGAGAGAATCTAAGACATTAACTATACAATCTGCTAATTTAGACAATAGAATATCCTATTTCTAGAAAGAATAAAATACAGGAGATCTGGTATTAATACCAAATCAGGTCAAACTACAGCAGTAAATATTCTCTAAATTAGGAAATAAATCCACAATGTACTTGTTTTTGTTTTTATTAGGAGTATGAATTTGTATAACTTTTTACTTTTGATCAAGAGGTCTTTGATGTAGGGTGGTAGTTCTTCAACCGTTCCTAACCAGTCAATGAATATGAGTTTGGTGTTAAGAGTGGTGCGAGGAGAGAATATGTTGTTGAAAGTGCTTTCAAGTTTCAACCCGGGTCTCATAATTTTCCACGAGCTTCATTTGGAAAGACAACAACAACAACAACAACAACATCCAAGCCTTAGTCCCAAAAGATATTGGGGTCAGCTAACATGAATCGATACATGATATCACAACCAAAAGGAAAAGAAGGAATAAAGATAAAAAGATAAGCTATTATGAAAAGATAATATAAAAAAGATGACTATATATAAAAATGATAAAATAAAAAGGCTGCAAATAATGCATATATATATACAAGGATAAAAAAAACTAGGAAAAAAAAGATGAGGGAAAAAGGTTATCAAGATCACTCCTTCACGTGAATACCCGCCCTCCACTTAGTTCTCTCCAAAGTCATGCCCTCATCCAACCCCAGAAGAAGCATATCACTTCGAACTCCCCTAACCCACGTCTGTTTGGGTCTTCCTCTCCCTCTCTTCCCTGCCTCTTCTCCACACATCTCAACTCGCCTAACAGGTGCATCACTCGGTCTTCTACGCACATGACCAAACCACCGTAGGCGCGACTCCCGCATCTTGTCTTCAATAGGTGCTACTCCCACCCTTTGTCTGATTGTCTCATTCCTCACGCGGTCCTTCCTAGTATGCCCACACATCCAACGCAGCATGCGCATCTCTGCCACACTCATCTTTTGAATGTGACATTGTTTCACCGCCCAACACTCTACGCCATACAGTAATGCAGGCCTAATTGCTGTCCTATAAAATTTACCCTTCAGTCTAGTCGGCATACCTCGGTCGCACAGAAATCCTGACGCACCCTTCCACTTCATCCACCCTGTTCTGATTCTATGGGATACATCTCCATCTAACTCACCGTCCTTCTGAATTATGGAGCCCAAGTAACGGAACATATCGCTGACTGGTATCTCCTTTACCATCCAGAGTAATTCCGCTATTACCACTACTTCTACCTCCACCAAACTTGCACTCCATGTACTCTGTCTTGCTCCGACTTAGTTTGAAACCCTTATTCTCCAATGTTTGTCGCCATACTTCCAACTTTGCTTTAAGACCTGATTGCGTCTCATCAATCAATACAATATCGTCGGCAAACATCATGCACCACGGTATATCGTCTTGAATTGACTTCGTAAGTTCATCCATGACTATGGCAAATAAGAAAGGACTCAAGGCCGATCCTTGGTGCACTCCGATAGTAATAGGGAACTCTTCAGTCCTCCCTACACTAGTACGAACACTTGTAGTACAATCCTCATACACATCCATGATGATGCTGATATACTTGCGTGATATGTCTTTCCTAGTTAAGGCTCACCAAAGAACTTCTCGAGATACCCTATCATATGCCTTTTCTAAGTCAATGAACACCAAATGCAGATCCTTATGAGCATCTCTATACTTCTCCATAAGTTGACGAAGAAGGTGAATAGCCTCAGTTGTTGAGCGACCAGGCATAAAACCGAATTGATTCTCTGAAATCTTCACAGTCCTTCGAAGTCTTTGCTCAATCACTCGCTCCCAAAGTTTCATGGTGTGACTCATAAGCTTAATCCCTCGATAGTTGGCACATTCTTGTACATCACCTTTATTCTTAAATAAAGGGATAAGAGTACTCTTCCTCCAACTCGTTGGCATCTTGTTGTTTCTCCAAATCATGTTGAAGAAACTTGTTAACCACTCGACGCCTCTCTCTCCCAAACTTCTCCAAGCCTCGATCGGTATGCCATCTGGCCCCATTGCTCTTTTCCGTCCCATCTTCCTCAGAGCTTCTTTAACTTCCGTTGTTTGGATCCTTCTCACAAAATCACGGTTTACCATACAATCTGGTATGGACAAATCACCGATATCTTGCGTTTTGTTCCCGTTGAATAGTGTATCAAAGTATGACCCCCACCTCTCTTTTATCTCTCCGTCGTCCATTAATATCCTCTGATCAACATCCTTCACACACTTAACTTTTGCAATATCTTGAGTTCTGCGATCACGAAGATGAGCAAGTCTATAAATATCTAGTTCTCCTTCCTTAGAGTCCAACTTTTCATACAACTCCTTGTTCACTTTCCCTCGTGCTTCCCTTACGGCTTTCTTTGCTCGTCTTTTAGCCTCCCTGTATGCTTCTATGTTCTCATCACTCCAATTTGTCCCCAACTTTTTGTAGCAATCTCTTTTGTTCCTTATGGCTTGTTTCACCTCATCATTCCACCAAGATGTGTCCTTTTTAGGTGGCCGACATCCTTTAGATTCTCCAAGTACCTCCTTTGCCACTTTGTTAATGGTCAACTCCATTGATAACCACACATCATCCACATGTGTTTCATTATCAATACGCCATACATCTTCACCGACCATTTTGTGTGTAAAGCTTTGTTGAAGATCTCCCTCTAGCCTCCACCACTTTATCTTTGGTTCCACTTGTTGTTTAACTTGTCTTCCATGGTTCTTACCTCGAAAGTCAAGCACAAGCATCCTATGTTGAGTGACAACACTCTCACCTGGAATAACCTTACAATCAGTGTAGCTAGTTCTCCCAGTGGTCCGTACTAAGAAGTAGTCAATTTGGGTACTATTAGCTCCACTTTTATAGGTTACAAGGTGACAGTCTCTTTTCTTAAACCAAGTGTTCATTATAGCCAACTCATACGTCAAGGCAAAATCCAAAATGTTCTTTCCCGCCTCATTCCTAGTGCCAAAACCATGTCCACCATGAATATTCTCAAAGCCATCACGACTCGAGCCCACATGCCCGTTGAGGTCACCTCCTATGATCAACTTCTCTCCCCTTGGCACTCGTCGCACCACGTCTTCAAGATCTTCCCAGAACTGTTGAGTTGTAGATGCATCCAATCCCACTTGTGGTGCATAGGCACTTACCACAGACACAATCTCACCTCTTATCACCAATTTAATGCTCATGATGCGATCGTTCTTCCTGAAGACTTCTACCACATCCTCAACATAGTCACGCGCCACAATAATGCCTACCCCATTTCTAGTCTTATCTCTCCCCGAATACCACAACTTAAAACCTCCGGGATTAATCTCGCGTGCTCTCTCCAACCCATTTAGTTTCTTGCACACACATAGTGCTGATATTCCTTCTGCTCATAACCTCGACTACCTCGGAAGATTTCCCTGTAAGAGACCCAACATTCCATGTCCCAAAACGCAATCTAGCACTCCACCTTCTGTTCTTAGCCCTATCTCGGACCCCACCATGCCCTTGCATATTTGACATCATCCCCGGGCAATGGGATGACGCGCCGCTTCTGGGCGGCGACCTAGCAACCTTAGCATTCTTATCACCACACCCAGGTCTATCAAGTGTAGCGCGCCCTTGCATATTTGACACCACCCCCAGGCGGAGGGATGACGCGTCACTTACGGGTGACGACCTAGCATTAGCGATTTTCATATTTCGATTCATGTCATGTGATGTGACTAGGTGATACTGTTGGCCGTCACACGCCTACCACAACACCTTCCTCCTTTATCCTGGCTTGGGACAGGCATGATACCAAAAAAATGATATCATGGCGGAGTTCTCATTTGGAAAGACATTTAACCAAAAAAACTTACCTGTGTCTCGTCATTTCAAGGAGAGTAGTTTAAAATAGGACTGACATTTTTAACGGAAAAACTGAACTGAAAAACCCGAACCAAACTCGATAAGCGAACCTGGGAAAAATGAACTGACATGATTGTGACTCGAAAATTGGGACCCGAATGCTAATCGGTTTTTAGGTTTTAAAGAGCGTTTTAAACAGAACCAAACCGGCTTTTATTTATTTTAGTATAAATAAATAAAACTTTTACATTTTCTAACATAATATAGATACTAATAATAATGATAATGGTGATGACTATCATCGTAATCATATTACAATAATCCTAAATCATAACGCTAATCATAATATTTACAACAACAACAACAATTATTGTATTACAATTGTAGTTAAAATATGGAGTACAGTTACATGAATTACATGTGGTAGTGGTGCTGCCAGCCGGGAATTAAATTTTTCACTATTTGAGCATGCAAGAGTGAATCAGAAGTATCTCCATAATCAGAAAGTTGACAGTTATTTAGGTATGCGTTGTTGACATAATTGTTTAGGCGGAAACATTTTTTTCTAACTATTCCAATTATATATATATACTACGTATAATATTAATGTACTTTCCGTCTCCTTTGGCAGATATGAGTGAACAGCACACCAAGGTTAAACGTGAGATCCTAGCATGGATTGGAAGGGGGCTGATAGATCGTTAGTCTTGGACCCTAAATTGAACTGTATGATCCTTGAACCAAAGCTACTATGTAATATTAATAAAATAGGCCTCTATATAACAACTTAAATTCAAAGTTCTATTAATTCACCCACAATATGACAATATCACAATATTAATTAATTTTTAACACAAGGTGAAGACTAAAGTAAAATTCACAACAACCAAATAAAAACAAATTGAAAGAAAAATTGCAAATCATTTGAACATAATGTTGTGCCATCTTTAGAATTTGTAACTGCAAGTACAAGAGGGGTTAGAACATAAATAATATGTCATTTTCAAAATTACTCCAAGCAACACTCTGCCACATACATAGTGATATCTCTTTTTACCTCAATTTCTTATTCAAGTCAGAAAATACACTTTCATTTCCATTTCCCTTCCCAACAGCCCCTTCATTGTTGTCCTGTTGCATGTATACTAATTTTCTCTCAGATTTATGTTATTGTAGATCTCTTCTGCAAATCTTGAGCGATCATCATCCCTGTTTTGAAGTATGAATATTTTCAAACAGTTGGTGCCAATACCATTTTCTTTAAGATGCGCTACGAAGCCTTGTATTGGTAAATTGCACCCCTCTTTGTTTTTAGCATTGACATATATCTGCGCGATGTATAAAAACAATCTCTTCAGTTGAGTGCATGTTTGGTAAGGATAGAAATGACTGAAGTGGCTGAATTTTAGCTTATACTTCGTATATTGCAAAATACGTTATTTAATTAATGTAAGAAATAATACCTAGAAATAATGACAAAAGTATTGTTATTTTTTCATTTCAGCCAAAAAGTTACTCATGCACTAGTTGTTTTTCAGTGACCGGCCGTTCTCTTTTTCATTCACCTTCCCAAAGCATTGTGGAAGTTCATTCTCAAGAACATGAAGTAGTTATTGCTCTGGGAAGCAATATGGGGGATAGACTTCATAATTTTGATGAAGCCTTGGACCGAATGAGAAAATCGGGGATCCAAATTACCAGACATGGTTGCTTGTACGAGACCCTTCCAGCTTACGTCACCAATCAACCCCAGTTTCTCAATTCTGCCATTAGAGCACTTACAAAACTCAAGCCTTTTGAGCTCTTACAGGTTCTCAAGAAGATTGAGAAAGATATTGGACGTACGGACGGGATCCGATATGGTCCAAGACCAATTGATTTGGATATATTGTTTTACGGGAAGTTCAAGATACATTCTGAGTCCCTTGTTATCCCACATGAAAGAATTTGGGAGAGACCGTTTGTTGTTGGACCGTTGATTGATCTTCTCGGGTCTGATATCGAAAATGACACTGTAGCATGCTGGCATTCATTTTCTGGTAGGGGGCTTTTTGAGTTGTGGGAAAAGCTAGACGGGAAAGATGATATGAAACGGGTGTTGCCTGTCGGTGACCGTTTGTGGGACTGGTCATCGAAAACATCTGTAATGGGTATACTTAATTTGACCCCGGATAGTTTTAGTGATGGGGGGAAGTACTTTTCTGTTGATTCTGCAGTTACACAAGCCCGTGCAATGCTTGTGGAAGGTGCAGATATACTAGATCTCGGGGCACAGTCCACCCGCCCAATGGCTTCTAAAATTTCTCCAGAAGAAGAACTAGGTAGGCTTTTTTCTGGAGTGAGAAGATTGCTCGTTTAAGAGCCTGTTTATTGAAGTTGTGTCTGATTTAATCTGGCAAATTATTTGAAGTATATTTGTTAAGAAATAATGAAAATTATAGGGCTACAATAAAAATACTAACAAAAGAAAAAAAAATTAATACGCGGTGACGATATTGATATTTACACATTGATTTGTTGACCATTTCAGTTTATGTTTCAATGATTATACACAGTTGTTATGTTGGTATTTTCTACAGGTAGACTGATGCCGGTTGTTGAGGCGGTTAAAAAAATGCCCGAGGCTGAAGGGAAGCTCATATCCGTGGATACTTTTTATTCGCAAGTCGCCTTAGAAGCCATTAATAATGGAGCACACATTGTGAATGACATATCGAGTGGTTGTATGGATTCCAATATGCATAGTGTCGTTGCAGGCCTCAAAGTGCCTTATATTGCCCTTCACACTAGAGGCTGCCCATCTACGATGCAGAATGCTGAGAATCTACAGTATGATGATGTGTGTAAAGAAGTTGGGCATGAGTTGTATGAACGTGTTCGGGATGCTGAGTTGGCAGGAATTCCAGCTTGGAGGGTCATTGTGGACCCAGGGGTTGGGTTCTCAAAGAACACTAAACAGAACCTTGATCTTCTCGTGGGTTTGGGAAGTGTTAGAACCGAGATGAGGAAGAGAAGTTTGGCTGTGTCACACTCCCCCCTGTTGGCTGGACCTTCAAGGAAAAGATTCTTGGGTGAAGTATGTGATCGTCCGGTAGCGGTTGAGCGGGACTCGGCAACTGTTGCTGCTGTCTCTGCTGCTGTTCTGAATGGCGCCAATATTGTAAGAGTGCATAATGTTAGAGATAATTTGGATGCTGTAAGGCTATGTGATGCAATGCTTGGTAGGAGGGATACGATTTATTAGAAAGATGTTAGAAGCTTATCCAACTTCATAGAACTATTTCTGGTAACATATCCCACTTTTGCATTTGCATAAGCTTTTTTATAAATGATTCTACTCTTTAGAAATTTCGAAATGTTTTCGTGAAATTCGTGAGATTTTTTTTGGATCTTAAATCATTTTTTAAAGCGTTGTACTAAATCTGTGATTAAGATAATATACTCTAGCAATACAGCCTTGTTTCCAATAGAAGTTAATCTTTTTTAGTAATGAACAATTCGTACTCCATGGTGATGGATGTCAAGTATTTGTTTAAGAGTTTGTTCATAATGGACAATAAGTTTTTCTTCAATTTGGTAGGTATCGTGCATGTATTAATTTCGTCCAGTTATGGCGTGTTAATGGTCTTATTGGGTTTTTCGTTCAATTAGCTAGCAATGTATTAAAATTTTATATTACAAAAAATCTTATAAATCTGTCTTAAAGTTAAAATATGATTTGTTTAGTTATTTTTTTAATAGACTATTTAAAATATTAATGATTAAAATTGTGGGCAGGTAAATGTAAATTTCAAAATAAACTAAAATATTAAATAGGAGTAAAGGTAATATTAAATTTCCAATATGCATTTGGATCTGTTCATCACTTCATCTCCCAAGTTCCAATCCCACCCGCATAGACTTGAGATTGTACTCGTATATACTTAGAAGTAGGGATGGATTCGGTTCGGGCCACCCGGCCCGGTACTGTGCGGGCCCGGGACCGGCCTGGTTGGGCGGTCCGGGACCGGGTATGGGCCCGAACCGGTGGGAAGGGGCGGGGCGGGCTCAGTGCTGGAATAATGTGACCCGGCCCGGGCCCGGTCCTATTTTAAAAAAAAAAAAAGAATTTAATCTTGGGCTACTAGCCGTTGGGGGTGGGGCTGGGGACAACCCAAACGGCTATATAGCCGTTGGGTGGGGTAAAGGGGGGTCCGGGGGGGTTGGCTGGTAGGGGGCGGGTGGGGGGTAAAAAAACCTATAAATACTCCTAATCTTAAACATTTTTTCATATCTCTTCTCCAATTCTTCCTAAATCCTATTCTTAACTCTCTACTTTCTAATTCTCTTATTCTCCAATATATTATATATCTATTCTCTAATTCTCTTCTCCAAGAAGTTAAGATGGAAAATCAAAATGCCATTATACGGTATAATTTTGATAAGCAGAAGGACCCGAAGACCGGGATGTGGTACGCAATTTGCAAATGGTGCGAAAAAAAATGTATCATGGGAGCTTCAGGCGGATTCGGGATGGCAATCAAGCATATGAAGTCATGTGACAAAGTCAAAGGATCGGGAGGTGCAGGAAGTTCCGATTGATTACAATTTTCAAAATGTTTATCTCTTAAAGTTTGTTTTAATTTTCAAATGTAGTTCCTATTTCATTTCAAATAAATGCAATTGAAGTTTGTTTTTAATACTCGTATAAAACTATAAACTATAAAATATAAATTATATATAAAAAAAATTAACCAGCCCGGCCCGAACCGGACCCGACCCGTGACCCGGGCGGGTGGCCCGGCCTGAACCGGACCCGTCCAACCCTCGGGCCGGTCCCGGGCCCACTTTTCTTGAACCGGCGGCCCGACCGGGCCCGACCCGGCCCGAATCCATCCCTACTTAGAAGATTTTAAATCATGTTAGATCATAATAGTTCTTATAAGATTAAAGATATTCAAAGCAGATAATAAGAGATATTTTGATCAAAATGTTGTTACAATAATACTATTATTGTTTTATTATTTTTGTCGATTGTTTTTTTTTTTATCTACAACTTATTCGAGGAGAAATGCTTAGCAGTACTTGTTGATGCATGGTGGGTTAGAACCATTCTTGTTGTACACATATTTTGTACACCTTTTGTGTACACCCCTTAATTAATTGTTTGTCTATAAGGTAGCTTTTGAACAAATTGTCTGTGTAGATTGACAACAAGGGGGTGTACACAAAATGTGTACAAATGTGTACCAAAAAGTGTGTTTTATGAGGTGTGAAAGAATTTAGGAGCACAAAAGTTCTTGCAGGCCATGCTATGAAACATTTAGATTCATAAGGCTTGAAATTGCCTAGTACTATACATTCAGGAGTACACCACTATAAGGTCCTACTCTACCCAAATTTAAAAAATGTTTATCTAATGTATCAAACAGTGTATAAAGTTAATTTTTAGAAAAACTCTTTCAACAATTCAAGCTAAATTTTTTTGTGGCTCAAACAAAGTTTCATGGTTATAAAAAGTAGTGTTAGTTGAACAAAGTTTGCAACCACATCCACTGACTCATTGAGGAGACATTTTGTAAAGGTATATATGCCGATATGCGTACTATAATAACCAAAAGAATGAAGGAGTGAGATGTATTGAGATTGCGAAAAGAGTGAGTAAGACTTAACAACGAAAAAAGTGTATCAAATAAAAGTTATACAAATTATTTGTTGTCATCTTTAAAGTAAATAAAAGAGCTACTAACAATCCATAAATAAACATTTTAAACTCTTTCCAATGTATATATACAGAGGGGAGCAATTCAAGTTGGGGCCTGCGAAACAAAAGTTGTACATATGTTAGATATTTCTTGTATTTTATCGCATATTACGGTATCTATTCTCAACAATATTGACTAGAATGAATTTTGAACCAGTTACTTCTTCATTGAGAGTGATTAATGAGGACTAATATACGATTCTTTTTTGGAATACTCTTCCTAACCTATAATAATATATGTTCATGTTAATGTCAACATCCTTAATTGAGATGAAACTCGAATATGTGATCCTTTTTTTGAGAGATCGGCAGTGATGTCATCAGATCGCAAGATGTTGTGATATTTCATCAGCTCCTCCTCTTGTGCGTGTATTGTGTAGTTGAGTTGTGATAGTGATTCCACCCGGTCAGCATGAACCAGCTAGCTAGACCTAGCAAATTTCATACTCGTATTAGATTAATGCTTACTTATTAGTCAACCTTGGATGATCAACTTGAGTATCTAACAAACATATTAAACAATTGAAGTCCATAAAATTTTCAAGGCAGGTTTCATATTTGATGGTCCCTCTAAAAAACCAATCACTCATACCAACCTTCACCAACATTATATGTGCTGTCTATTTCAACATATTTACTACGTTCCTCTCAATTCAATTTATTCACTTCTTCTTTCCACAAATTTCAAAGTAAACATTTATTTTATTTTTATTTTCTTATTTCACAACAAACCTAAACAGCGGTAATAAATGTCATATATTATGTAGAAATAGTCATAAATGTGAGTACAAACGTACGTTTTGAAATTTCAAAAGAGAACCTTCATATTTTTATTTTCTACATAAGAATAATTTCTGCCGAATTTGAAAAACCCTTGACAGAAATAGTCATATTTAAAGTTTGATAATGATGAACTTGAGAAAAGTTCTTTTTTACATCCGACCTTTTCCCTATATTATTATAATACATTTAATAATTGTCATATTTTTTATGGATTCACTGTATGCCTCCTTTGTTTGACATTTAATCATGCATGGTCATAAAATCCAATTGTAGTTCGTCAACCATTGTGACTACTGAACTACTTCTACTTTATTCCCATATTTATATTGTATTTTAATCCAATAAATTTGTAATTTATTAGTTCAATTCAAAGAATTCAAATGCGTAGTACATGAAACTAATTTGTCATTTGTAATGGGAAATTACGTAGTACAGAATCTTGTTAGCAAATCGTATTTTGGTTGGGATATGCCAAATCCGTGCCAAAAACACTTTGACACGAAAAATCGATAAGTCTGTACCAAATTCCGTGGCAATCTTGCAATTTTTCTGTAATGCATGAGCGTACTCAGGAGTGAGAGTTGGGATGAGCCGATACAAAGATTTTTTACAGATAAATTTTTACACAGTTGGCCACCCCTCCACCTCCGCCCCTACTCGTTACAGAACTAACAATTTTATTTTGTAGTACCGTAAATTGTAATAGACTTTTTACAAAAAAAAAATGGAAATGGGCTTTTTCTATAATTTATACATTAATGAAATGGACATATTTTTATACATTTTTTCCCAATTAAGAGCAAACTACTTTTCGTCATCAACTATAGATTAAATGTAGTAATGTGACCCTCGAAATCGGTACATTATGATGGTCAAATTTAGAAGAGTTCAAGTGTTCAACCCTACATGCTACAGAAATAAAAAATAAGAGTGCACGTGATAAAATCAAATACTCCCTCTATCTCTATAAGGTTTTGATTTGAATAGCATGGCATTGATGAGGAAATAGATATTTTTCATTTGACATCCTAAAATGATTTTTTTATTGAAGAATAAGTTTTACTATATAAGAATTAATACACTATTTTATCATTATTCCTCGATTGTACGAAGTAGAGTAAACTTATACTACTCTCGTCTCATTTTAGTTCACCATCCTTGACTCTTTTAATCAAAGATAGTATTAGCTATACTTTTATATATAAATATATAATCGGTCAAATTTAGACATAATTGACTTGAAAAGTCGAGTTTGACTAACCAGGAAAGTGACAAAATCTTCTTACATACTAGTATCATTTTAGTTTTTCTAACCCCATCTCTTCAGGTTCAGTGTGAAACGATTACAGAGAATAATATTTCATTCATTTTATTAAGTAAAAACACACAAATTGATGACATGGAATGACTATCAATTATGTGGCATCCGTGACGTGGCAGGTTGGATGATGTGGCAAAAAATATCCTAATTTGAGAAATAAGTTTAAAAGTACCCTACTTTGAGAAATAAGTTTTGGAACTACCCTAGTTTGGGAAAAAACTCGCGTTGAAGTGCAAAGAGCTTCGAAATGGTTAAAGAAATTAAATGGAGTTAATAGTTTGTTTAAAGCTAGTATGGTACAAAAAATTAATGTAAAGTAAATATGAAAAATACGAATTTAGCATATAACATTTTAACTTTAGCACATTATTATTTCATACATTCATTATAACAAAGTTAGCTAATACAACATATTTGCATTTGTTATGTTTTATACTATCTACCTCTATCAAAAGATATTTGTTGGTAACAATAGAAAATTGCATTAATATTTTTTACATGATTCATTTAAATAAAATTGTGAATATTACAACATTTATATCACTGACTCATTTAGTTTTCTTTGAATATTTTATGTGATATTATAAATGCTAATTAACTATAAAATTATTTTTTGTGAGAAGTG